ATATTTTATATGAGTCACATTTAAGAACATGTCTCTGAAATGGTTTTCAAAACTGTCCTGGAGCAGCCCAGCACTCTCTCTCCCTCATCTAACACACCCGATTCAACTCGTTAACTTTAATGTTAGGTGGGATTAATCGCGATTAATTTCAGAAAAAAAATATAATTCATGACAAAAAATACTGATAATATATTTTAAATACATTTAATTAAACATACTTTAAAATGTATATTAGCAAATCAAAACAAAGCCAAAAAAGTACATTTATATTTACATTTCTATATGGGTTTTGAATATGTTGTCATATACATACATAGAGAGAGAGAGAATTTAATAAAATATTTCCTGATATATTTTGGCCCTTTTAATACCAATATTACTTGTAAATATTTTGAAATATATTTATATAGTTTGAATATATTGTCATCATTTCATTTTGTTCCTCTTTCTTTCTTTCAAAATCAAAATACATTTCAGCAAGAAATATAACATTTTTACACATTTTCTTTTACATCAACTTGTATAAACATGTACCCTGTATTTGCTTCACGAAAAATTAAGTTTCAACTCTGAGGTAAAGAAGCGGAAACAGACTTCCAAATGTAAACATAAAGAGTTGGTAGAGCTAGAAAATATTCTTAACCCACACAGTTTCATATATAAAAGGACTCTTGCTCCAGGTGTATTAAAATATATCAAATCATGTTGGAATTGCTCTGGAATAGCTCGCTGTTATTGTGAGTTTTCAGATATGCATTATGTAAACATTATCCTATACGCTTGTTTATCCACTATATTCATTTTGCCCATAATTCGTTTCTAAAGAGAATTTGAGCAGTTATGAATCATTGTGTGTTGTAGTGGCTGCAGGCATTTAGTGTGAATCTCAAGAGGAATAGAGGTTATTGTGGCCATCCTACACTCATTTGTGAGGGCAGCGTGAATTGTTTGTTCAAATCAAACCAATTTAACATTGTCCTCGTGGCACTGTTGTTCCCCACACAGAGGAAAACCAATCCCAAATCCACCTAAGACTGATTTACAGCGCCGGGGGACCAGATTAAGAGGCTGTAGATAGCATCTCAAGTGTTCGCCGAAAGAAAGACACCTGTCCCGCCAACAATTCCAATGCTTCAAAAGCAGGCATTAACACGTCTATTAAAATCTGTCACCCCTCTTTCTCCTTCTTCTTTCTGTGCACTGAAGAGAAATTGCAGTCATTCAAATGCTAAGCGACTTTCTCTCCCCTGTGGATATTAACGCAAATAGAGCCACGCTCCATCATTTGCCAGGAACGTCAGGGAGGGGAAAAAGATGCAAAATGAGCCAATGCTGCTGCGAATATCCCTCACCTCTGCATTATCTCTTCACATTCCATTACCTTTCCTGTGCCGCAGACCAACAAAATGCAGCAAAAACGTCAGTCATCATTAGATCGCTGCCTTATAGTGCACTAAATTCCTAATGCTACACGTGTAAGTGTCTCGCTGATTTCATCATGCTCGGCAGGTTTCCGAGAGCTCATTTAAATTCATCTCTTCACGAGCTCTTAAATAATATACCAATAATAACTCTAAACAGATCAATGGAATCATTTTAAAGTGTGAGCACTAACTTTGCCTGTGGGCATCGAGCTCTTGTACTGTCTCATCTCATTATTTATGTATGGGGTCTATGGAATATCCACTTCATTATAAGACACATCTTTTTATTAATGTTTTATTCTTATTTCTCAACAGGTTACTGACGGAGGCACTATTAAGCAGAAGATTTTTACGTACGATGCTATGTTCAATACGAATTACTCCCATATGGAGGATTACCGGAGACGGGAAGACCTGGTGTATCAATCAACAGTCCGGTAAGAGCCGTTAGCTGTTATTTGATTTGGCACAAAGTAGAATATTTATGTGACCTGATCACTGGAAGTGCTAACTTTTATTCATATGACATTGGACTCTGATGATTATATGGACAGTATGACTTTTAGGCTGACATGCAACATTTGTGTTCATTTCCTGTTGGTTTTCTACATTACTATAAAGAGAAATGCCTTGGGTTCGTTCTGCATTAACTCTCTTATGGGTGCATCAGAAGGGCATCTTTGTTGATGTGTTTCACTGTTTTTTCAGAGTCTTGCGTCATGAGCGCTGCATTTTTAAAACACTTTGTCATGTTAAAATTAAATCAATGTTCAGTTCTGCACATTAATGTAATTTTTTTAACAATTGACCAATCAGACCGGGATTAGAATCTCAAGTGTATTCTGTTTAATTATGTTGTGCTTCATCTAGTGGTTCTGTGGTTCCTGCGTATACTGGCCCCTCGAAGGCTTAAAAAAGTTAGACTCTTTAAGTAAAATATGACCTGATTAAGAAACTTTGCCTCGCTCTCCAATACTTCCTGGTATTTTCACCCACTGAGCCCCAAGCCAAGCTTTTCTTTTGGGCCCTCAGTTGCAATTTCCCTGCTCCCCATTCAGGAAGCATCATCTTTAGCCTTCCCTTTCCAAACATCTGCTTTAGTGTTTCACCGCTGAGGAACAGACGTGTTTCCCAAGCCATCCCTAATACCTGAGGCTCAGCTTCAGGCAGAAAAGCAAAAGCAAGCCCCAGAAATACTTTCTCATATCTGTTCTGCTCCTCACCAAAACATACAAGTTTTTTGTCAAACCAAAAGCTGGTACAAACTATTAGATGAAGAGCAGAGAAAGGAAGGTTTTGATTACTAGTTCAACCTGCTGCAAGACTAGCTGCACTCTCTACATCGAAGATATGTGCACATGTGCATCAAGTCAAGCAGAGTTTTTCAGGTAACAGGCTACAATACCTCCTTGCTTTGCCTGGAAAGTGGTACAGTGTATGCTGTGTACACAGAAACAAACACTCCTACCCAGCAGGAAGTAAATTGATTGTCACACTGTAAGCAGCAGTATGGATCACCTGTATTGACCTCGCAGTCTCACATAGTGCTCGGGAAGGAAGATGGCAACTGCAGAGACCATCAAACTCCATGTGCAGTCGCGTAAGTATAAACGCATAGTTTCACACTGGGAAAAAAAAATCTTAAACAGTGATTTGTTTTCAAGTAAAATATCTAGTAAAATATATATAGTCCAGATGCACTTACTGCATGCAACTACATAGGCAAAGTTTTCACAGTGTAATGTGAAAATCCAGGTCAACTCAATGGCCCAGCTAGCCAGACAGTAAGATAGGCTAACAGATGATGGATGGATGGAATAGTAATTTAAAAAACTAATTTTTGCAGCACAGACACTTCCATGACACACAAACATACACACTTCTCAAATCCTTTCCCCAGTAGTCTCTGACACAGCATTCTGTGGGAGATCCAGAGCGCCCAGACAGGATATTTCACAGGTATTATCTCTCATTTTCATTCCAGAGTGGCAAGAAGCCACATCAGTAGGCCTTGCCACTCTAATTCAGTTCTCAGCTTTTCGCCTCTAAATTAATGCACAAGAAAGGATCTTCCTAGAATCGAAAACGGAGAGATAGACATGTCTGCCTCTAGCTGTGCCATAAAAGTTGACTTGTTTTCACAGCACTACTTCATCTGTCTGCATGCTGCTCTAAAGTATGCATCTCGTCTCTTGGAGTATTGGAGGATAATAAAAAAAGCTTTTGTTTTTCCATTTTGAACAGCTATTTTCTGGTGATTTTCCAGTCCCATCGCAGTCTTACATGACAGTTTGAATTCCCTGAAAACTCAACACCACACAAGGTGTCAAATGAGACATTATTAATGTGCAAATTGAAATTCGGTGTCTCTTCTAAACTTTCCCCTCAAAACCCCCCCTTAAGGAGACTACGTTGTTGAAGGTGTTAAAAATGTATTATGTCCATTTTAATATTTAATATGTCATAATGTTAGTTTTTTTCTTATTCTTCACTAACTTCTCCTTAGCTGCCAGTATATTAAGAGGGAAATTTTGAGCTTTTGAGGAAATTTTTGTCCACAGGACCCTCCCCTTCCTCTCCGACCTAGCCCTCTTCTCTCATTACCATGGACACCTCAATTCTCTACTTGTTCCTATGAGACCCAACTGCTCTTAGCAGAACATTCGGCTTTATACTCCAAAACAAAAGCACTTACGCCCACCAGGCCCTCCAGGGCCCTTCAGGAGAAGCCCGTTCTTCGATAAAAGCCCCTGATTATCACGCACATCTATCAGATTTTTTCATGACTCTTCACCGAAACGCGACAACAGTGTTAAAAGAGAGAGATGAAATATGCTGTGTGTCATTGAGGCATGTGATGTCTCTTTTAAGTCTGGAAGTGAGGATACTTGTGTAGTGGAGCAGCACTGATTGTTGTGTTCATGCCAATTGCATGAACGAATGTTTCGTTTTCAAATGTGGGATTTGGGTGTGACTATGCAATCTACAAATGTTACATTTTAGCATCTCTAATGCCTTTAAAGTGAGAAATGTGCATGCACCTTTCATATAAACCAACCGTTTTTTTTATTTTCTAAACTTATATTTATATTTTTTTAAATCATATTTATAATCAAAAGCCAGGCCATTTTATTATAGTCAGCCTTTCCAATGAGTATATTTACAACCATGACCTTACAATGCTGTTTTTGTACATCTTACTTTTTTTTTTTTTTTTTTTTTTTTAGCGGTTTTGTTACCTTAAATTAAATTTTTTATTTTATTTTATTCACGTTGTAAGCCCTTTGAAAGATTGCAGAAGCACCCTAATGGCATTTAAATTGTTAAAGATTGTTTTGTTTTGCCCATTTGAAAGTTTGGAAATGCCCCCTAGTGTCATTATAATTCAGTTAAAATTTTTATTATTTCATTTTTTTTTTAATTATTTAATTTGATTCATCTTGCAGCCCTCTTGTTTGCCACCAGTGGCATTTATTTATTTATTTATTTATTTATTTATTTTCAGGCCCCTTTGAATGTCTGCAGAGCCCCTCAGTGGCATTTTCACTGAAAAAAATGTTGTTTTGTTTTGTTTTGCAGCCCATTCAATTCCTTTAAATTTTGTATTATTTTATTTTATATTTTTTAGCTTGAATGAGCTTCACTCATAAAACAAATAATTTTTTTTTTTTTGTAAATAGTTTACAAATCTATTCATGCGTAAATTGCCCCATTGAATGGAATTGGTTTGTGAACCATTTTTAACTGATGTTCAAGGCCCAATGAGTGAATGTACGAGTGAAAGATCACCTCAGTTGACCTATGTGTTTGATGACTCATGAAAACATGAGCTATTGCGAATATTCCAACTCCATAAATTCAGCCTCGGACGTATTCTAACATCATACGCCCACAGCCAATAAGAACAGGCCTTAACTGAGAAATTCATGGCACATTTCTGTAATTACAAAATGCTATATTCCTGCCAGCAAGTGCTCTGTCCCTCTCAGCACAGACACACACACACACACACACTTACACATGCTGTAGAGTGGCAGGACCTGACTAGGAAAATCCCTTCTTGCCTCAGTGTGATTTAGTGCTAATCGGCTTTTTATTACTCTCTGATTAACAATCCATCTACATTTTTAGAGCACAGTGAAAGAGAGAGAGAGAATATAGAGAAGGTGAGAGTGAGAAAGACTATGAAGAAGCTGGAGTTTCAGTCCCATTGAGGTTATTTTGAAGAACTGAATATCAGAGCGAGCCAGAATATTGTGCAACATCGCCAGCATTTCAGCAATCCAAAGAGGAAGTATGCAACAAAGGGGAGTGAATGAGCGAATAAGACACAGAGATTGTCGAAAGGCATAAAGGAGGAGGGGTGGAGAGGTAAGAGGCTGAGAGAGACAGGAACTGAGAAATGTGCTGGCCGGGGTTCAGAGACCCGGGCAGTAAAGCTCATCCAGAGAGAGGACACTTGTAGGGTGGAACGTGAGACCAATGCCAATGTACAAAGCTGGAGCCAAACCTCTCATCCAATTATCACGGTCCGTGCATGTCAAGCAGCCCTGGAAGTAAGAGGCGAAAAAAAAGAAACCTAACAAAAACAGCAATAAAAACTCTAAAAACTGCCAATAGACAAGGTTAAAATGATAGACATCTGTGAAGAGAAATGGCAGAGTGGTTTTATTTACAAACGCTGCTTTGTTGCCATCGCCATGATGGTGAACGCACTGCAATTAACTCTGGCTGTGTTACTACTCATCAAGTCTAAGTGAGCTATCTGAGGTGCAGGGGGAAAGAAAGCTGCGGCGGGGAGGGGTGGAGGAGTACATGAAAGGAATGCTTATGCGCTTGTGCTTGTGCTGAGAATTCACCCACTGCCCTCATTCAATATAATAAATGAGCTTGGTTTCAGTCAATTTCTGCTTGTTTTAAAGGGGCTGAGCAGCAGGACATTGTCGACTGGTCCCGAGCACACGAAGATGCTGTTGGGATTGTTAAAGGATCACTTGACTGAAGCGAAGACAGAGAGGCTGAGATTTTTTCATCATCATTATTTTTCATGAGACTTTTAGAAAATTGTGATATCCAGAACTTGGAACATGGGCTCAAACGATTTGCAAACAAAAAAGGACCAGAAGTGTTTTAAAATAAAATACACTATACCATTTAAAAGTTTGGGTCAGTTTTTTATTTATTTTTTATTTGGCAAGGATGCATTAAATTGATCAAAAATGTATGACGGTTTCCACAAAAAATAATAGGAAATGTTTCTTAAACAGAAAATCAGCATATTATTTCTGAAGGATCATGTGACACTGAAGACTATATATTGTAGTTAGTAATGGCTACAGAAAATTCAGCTGTGACATCACAAGAATTACATTTTAAAATATATTAAAGTATGAAAGTTATTTTAAATTGAAATAATATTGTAATAATACAAGTTCAAGATGTATTTCTGAAACAAATCAGAATATCTTATGCAATTTTGCTTTTCATGTAAGTGCACTCTATTAAAAAAAATATATTTTTTGTAGCATAGAGCTCACAACTAGGCATCATTATATATCATATATACTGTATGTCATCAATAACCATTTTTAAACAGCCAGTGTAGTTATAAATATAGCCTCTTATTTGTTTTATTGGGTGTCCTGAGAGAGAAGATGCAAAGAAAAAGGAACAGAATGAAATAGGGAAAAGCTACAAAAATGGACCACAGGGTCGAGCATCTGAGTATCCCAATCAGCCATCGTCAGCAGTCTACCCCCCTCTGTGGGGCTCCAGGGACAGCAGAAATGGACGGATGTAGTAAGGCATTATGGGAATATGTTGAGCCAGCAGACCGACAACTGTTTTCTTAGGCAGTGGTCTCTCTTTTCCTTGGCCTGGCACATTGCTATGACTGCACACCCAGATGCTTCAGCTTCACTGCAGTCTCTTGTCTTCTACAGAAGGCCAGGAAGGACAATTGTCTTCGATTTTGATCTGCTGCCTGCAGCTGAAAATCTCACTTTGATTTGAATTGTAGTCCATGTTCAGAATACAGAATGAAGCCTTTGACTCTTTGGCCTGTGTTTCAATAAAACACTTCTTTTGTATACTTTATCATTTCCTTTGGAGTTGTGTAGAGATGTGCTATTACTTTTCTAAGCAACTGGTTTTTCAAAAAAAGATTTTCACCTTGCAGATGATCAAAAAGACAAAAAAAATAGGCCTTAGTTTACACTGAAGGAGGAATTTGAACCATATTTAGAGTTCAGATTGTCACTGAAGGTCATTGAGAATGTCACTAAATAACTGTTTCGAAACCACCCAGAACCTCCTAGCATCATGACAATGTGTTTTACATGGGTAAACCCTGCGTGGATTTGCTTTAAAAAAGTTAGAATCTAGTTTCAGGATCCATTTTTCTGTCATGGGAGCTTGACGCAAGCTCCCATAATCATATTCAGTCTTAAAGGAACACGCCACTACTTTTGAAAATAGGCTCATTTTCCAACTCCCCTAGAATTAAACGGTTGAGTTTTACCGTTTTTTAATCCATTCAGCCGATCTCCGGGTCTGGCGGTAGCACTTTTAGCTGCAGCTTAGCATAGATCATTGAATCTGATTAGACCGTTAGCATCTCGCTCAAAAATGACCAAAGAGTTTCGATATTTTTCCTTTTTAAAACTTGACTCTTCTGTAGTTACATCGTGTACTAAGACCGACGGAAAATGAAAAGTTGTGATTTTCTAGGCCAATATGGCTAGGAACTATACTCTCATTCTGGCGTAATAATCAAGGAACTTTGCTGCCGTACCATGGGTGCAGCAGGCACAATGATATTACGCAGCGCCTGAAAATAGGCTAACTTCCGTCAACATAACCAATGTGACCACCTGCTTGCACAGGGAGCGTGCTGGGGACTATTTTCAGACTTTATTATATTTATTTATTTATGTATTTTCAGTACACGATGTAACTACAGAAGAGTCAAGTTTTAAATAGGAAAAATATCGAAACTCTTTGGTCATTTTTGAGCGAGATGCTAACGGTCTAATCAGATTCAATGATCTATGCTAAGCTACAGCAAAAAGGGCTATCGCCAGACCCGGAGATTGGCTGAATGGATTCGAAAACGGTAAAACTCAACTGTTTAACTCTAGGGGAGTTGGAAAATGAGCCCATTTTCAAAAATCGTGGAGTGTTCCTTTAAGCCTTATTTGGACGGTAATTGTTTGTCATGGGGACCTAAAAGATTTTCAAAATTTATAGGGGTTAGTCTAATTTTATTGCCGTCCGAATCCAGAATGCCAGTGTTTTCGCCCACCACCCGGGTAAAAATCCTCGGTCTAATTACCTACTGTTTTTGACAAACACCAAGGTCGTGTGTTAATTTAATTGCGTCCAAATCCACATCTTTACAAGAAGAAATCTATTCGAAATTCAGTGTTTAAATCCTTTTTGACCACTGCCGAACACCGTACGGTAACTGTTGCACTTCATGAGTTTTATCACTGAGGTGCCATGTAAATTTATTTTTACAGACGTCCACATGAGAAACAATTACCGTCCGAATAGGGCTTTAGAATCACTGAAAATATCTTAGTTAATAAACTTTTGATCTTTTTCACAGGCTTCCAGAGGTCCGGATCTCAGACAACGGACCTTATGAATGCCATGTAGGAATTTATGACCGAGCGACACGGGAGAAGGTCGTCCTGGCATCAGGGAACGTCTTGCTTACGGTCATGTGTGAGTAAAAATGCACTGCTGAAATGTTCCGTTCTGTATTTTCTCTCCATCAGGCTTGTGGAACAGCAATCACTAATTTGAAACCATCTTCAAACAAGAGGATGTAACTCTATAGTATATTCAAGATTAAGTGGACCATAATTTGCTCAGATCGACTTTTGGCATTATGTAGTTGAGAGGAAAGTGGCGGTGTTGCACGCAAGAGCTGACCAACAATCTTTTTTATTGTCCTTTAACTCGTTGCCTGAGGTTTTGAAGTGCTTCCTGAGAGAAGGTGAGAGGTGAGAAGGTGAGTGAATCCTGTGTTTGTTATTTGGAAGTCTGCCGTATTTTCTCTGTTAGAGCTTGGCAAGTTGGGCCAGAATGGGCTGATCATTAAGGCTGACTGTCTCCATGTGATAAGGACCTTTGAATGGGAGGTAGAGTAGCGTCTGAGTGTGTGTTTGTGTGTAATTCATAACACTTCACTTTGAACTTCCCCACTCGCTGCTTATATTCATGCTGTGCTGCAAAGCATCATTTGGGAAACTCTGAGGCGATGAAAATGCAAAGATTACAAAGAGCACTGATTTGCTTTTAATCGTTGTATGCATGTTCCCATCTCTCTCTTTTTTTTTTGGTAACAGTTTATAAGAGCTTCCCAAATTTCATAAATAAGGCATAAACAAACATTATTAGAACATTATCTAATGCTTTGCAGATCATAATTGTACAGTGAAATAATTTAAAATGTAAAATAACACATGGGGGTTCATGAGTTGAAAAGCTAATAATTAATTACTGTATATCAAATATTAAGATAAATAAATGGGGCTGTACAATAATTGTGATATAGCTTTGTGCTATTATCAAATCAAAGGCTGCAATTGAATTAAATAACTGTATAGTTTAATTTTATTGTTATAATTATCAAATATTTCTTTTTATTTTACAGTACAATTGCAGTTTCCAACAGTAATATATTTCTAATTAGTTAAAACATTATTTTATAATTAGAGTTAAAACATACTATAAATAATAATATTAATTATTATTATTTTTAGCAACATCAGAGAACCATGAACATACGAATGTGTTGTTAAATTATTTAAATAATAACTTAAAGGGGTCCTATTATGCTTTTTCACTTTTTTAATTTTAGTCAGTGTGTAGTGTGTATGTTTGGGCATAAAAAAGATCTAGAAAGTTACAAATCTCAAAGTCCACTCCAAAGGGAGATATTTCGTTTTTTAAAAATCCCTTTTCAAGAACTACAACGAACAGCTCGTTTGGACTACAGCGTTGGTTTCCGGGCTTTGTGATATCACAAAGCGGCCCATTAGAATATCATTAAAAATAATAAGCCGGAACTAATCGAGCCATTTGTGCCAGGCTGGGGAGAAAGGTATTTTAATAATGTAAATTATGTGAAAAATAATGCGTTTTTCGAACCACCAAGCATGAGAGCATGTTCTAGTACACCCCCAAAACAAAATCAAGACTTTGTAAAAGAGCATAATAGGACCCCTTTAATACCCATCGGTTACTTAGATATTTTACATGTAAGTGGTTCAGCTGACAAAAAAAAAATAATAATAATTAGTAAGTGTTCCCATTTATTTATTTAATGTTCAGATGACTGGCTTTTTAGATAGAGCTCATTAGCAATTCTCTCTATCACCAAATCAGACGCCACAAAGGGATTATTTATTAGTGTGCTGTTATGATTGATGCTTGAAGGTGTACCCTTTCATCTGTTGCTTTCCATCTGAAACGAGGACCCCAGACACTTATTTACACTCTACACTCCTCTTTTGGCCATTAGCCAGATGCTAACCTAATGACAGCCGGCCTATCTGAGTATGTCATGGTTCGTCCACCGGTCTGAGATTTTTAATTTTTCAGCCCATCGTTAAATTGAACAAATAAGAAAGTGTGTGGTCCTCAGGCTGATAGTTCTATCCTGGAATGCTGCTGAGCACTCTGATAAGACAGACTGGAAGTCGGTGAAAAGCCCTAGAAGGGCTAATGTGAATAAACATGTCTCTCAATAAAGAACGCCACTTCCAGCCCCTTCAGCTGGAGAACACAACCCAGTATGAACGAATTACACTGCCCATTGGAAGCTTTGTCGATGGTAGCGTTGATGTTAATGGGCTGCTCTTTATCAATACGAGATGTTTTCCAATTGCTTAGGAATCAAAGGAAAGTGTGTGTGCCTCGTCTAGCTGACACTCGTAAATCCCTACACCTCTACAGGGGAAGAACGATAGCCTCTAGCATTGTGGCTAATTGCCATCTAAGCTGAAACAGAATTATTCATAATCTATTAGTGTGGCAAGTTCACCGGGTAGAGGAGAGAAAAAAAATAAAACATGACGAGTGAGAGAATGAAAATGAGTCAAAAAAGTTCATTAATAGGAAGTCTTGCACAGATGGTATTTTAATTTGCTAAAGGACGTCATAAATAAGAATGTCCGTTTTAATTAATTTTTGCCTAGAAATCCAATCATTTGCTTTTTAAGCCTAAACTTCGAATTATTGGGGTCTCTGAGACTCGCCTTCATGCGATTTGAAAACTATGGTGACTCTACCATGAACTTCAACTTTAGAAATGGTTTATTTGGAGGGCAGTGTGATCAAGCATTGACTTGTGAGAATTGTAGTCGAACTAAAGCTGGGTTTGATTGTCATACAGTATTAGCATACTGGACACTTCAGTTTTGAGGCAAATGCTTAGTGTACATATACAGCCAATCGCATAGCCTTTCAAAGTATACTCCATTGATAGCATGTGAACACAGGTGCTTGACACATGTACACTAGAAAGTTTCATCCTTGCCCAGTGTTATTTACTTGACAAATAACTTCTTTGATGAAGTGGTCCATGGTCAACAGAAAATATACAAAAATAGGTTTAATTCCTGTTCGAGACAATAGCCTTACATGAAAATTTGCTAATCGAATAGCACTGAATTTTGCGAACATGGCAAAATTAGCTTAATTTACATAGAAAATGTGGCGTTTTTGCTTTGAAAAGAATGACAGTGATTTCATTCAAATTCTCACAGCACTGATCTGGTGTATTTTGCACCTGGTTAAACTGTTTTGCAGGTGTTTAGCAGATAAGGGTTTTACAGGAAAATATTGTTTAATGATTCGCTCCTGTGTGTATGTGGGAAATCATTGGCAAAGGTCACAGGAAAGTGACAAAACACATGTATGCAGCCGTACATAGCTGCTTAGTTTGATGGTATCTTTTCATAAAACCGCTTTCGTGACCTTTCTGTGATATACAAGGGAAATTAGCATTTCCCCTTTTAGTCAGTGTTGAAAATGTGCACTGTTCTCTCACTGCTAATGTTTGTCCTGTCATTCGCAGCTACGGGGCCATCGATTGCCTTATCATCGACAAACAGAGATGTCCTCATCTCATTATAATGATGATGTTTGTTCTTGCTCATTTCATAATAAGTCTGGTCCACATATCTCCAACTGCATTTGGCAACACAGCACAGGCTGACAGGCCCCCAATGTCAGCTTTTACTTGTGTATTCTTGCTATGTATTTATTTGAAATTGATGCATATAATTCCTTTCTTGAGGCTAAACAGTATGTTAAACTGCAGCACTTAAAGTAGCATTTAATACCAGAAGAGATGACCTTAGACAAACCTGTGAAGCAAGTCAGCTGAGCAATTAATTAGTTAAATTAAATGCTATATTCATTAAAAGTAGTCCCGCTGGCTGTAAAGGCTTAAAGTTGAAAAGGCTCAGCTGAATTAAGCATAATTAATTTATTTTGTCCACTACCACCTTTTAATTGTCATGAAGCAAATTTAATGAACCAAGTATAATTGAGAAGAAGACAATGTAGCCAACTAAAAGGGTTAGTAAAGTGTGCTTCGGGTTACATATTAGGAAAAAAATATGTATAACTGGCTATATATTGTCAAAATCTGGAGTATACACTAGTGTTAAGTAACATTGCAGGTCAAAGACGACTTAAACGGTACAGACACCATCTGTGCACTGTAACAAATTAGACTGAATATAGGATTTAACAGAAATGTGTTGTATTAAAAGGACAGTTTGCCCAAAAAAATGCAAATTCTTCATTCACACTTGTGTTTTTCCAAACCGATACAAATTTCGCAGAGCAAATAAGAATATCATTTGAAAAATTTATTTTTCGTCAGTGGGGTTCAGTTGTACAGTAGGATCCCACTGATGGTTCTTATATGGAGAAAACACTTGAGACATTTTTCAAAATGTCATATTTTGTAAGTCTGCAGAAGTGAGCACTGGAGTGAATTTGTGCATTTCACTGTTACTAGTAGGCAGTAAACAGTTTTATGTAAGAAACATGTTTGTTAAAGGGGTCATATGATGCTTTTTTAAAGATCATTATTTTGTGTATTTGGTGTAACAGAATATGTTGACATGCTTTAATGTTCTAAAAACACATTATTTTTCACTTTCTGCTGATCATGACAGCAGTAATTCATCAAATGATGAAGAAGCAGCAGCACACTTTCTGTATTTTATGAGCCGACTCAGAAGCGATGCTGTACAAACTTAGCATAGTAGGCTAAGTTGTGGTGACTTATTTCATACTCTAGCACTCCGGTCTGCAAGATGGAGATTGGGGGGTGCAAATTGTGTCGAGCACCAATTTTCTGGGTGTTACCTGATTTACATAATTCCTTTAGTGAACCGTGCATTTAAACAGCACAGACAGTACCTAAAAACAAACAACACTATCAAACACTATCAAACAACACTATCAATGCGCACTATCAATGCGCAACTCATTCTTAGTGAATTTCCCCCTATAGGGCACAAAGGCAATCAAGGCTCAAGGATCATCTCTTGCTAATTCAAGCCTTTAGGTTACCAATAAAGATGTCTAACCAGTGGGACGAGGCTACACTGTTAGCAAACAGGTCTTTAGAAAGGAAATTGTATATACAAACTGATTTAGCTTTTCAGTACAGTTTAGCAAAGACTGTAAAATATTCA